GGGGGGGGGGGGGGGGAGGGCAAATCGTAAAAATCCGAAAGGGTATATACGAACAGAACAAAAAATTGACAATTGATGAAGGAACGAACAACTTCTAGTGGCACTAACTGGGACATCGACGGTATGCCTGCCAATGTCTCAATTCAATGTTATTTTGTGAGTAAAAAAAAAGAGAATTGGCACCGTCTAATCTATCGTTCGGAGAATGACACAATGTCTCCGAAATTCTATTGAAAGATAATAGATTATGATTTTGCATAAGATTTATTCTCTTGAGAGAAAAAAGTTAGAGAAAAATTGTCTCAGTAAACGTGAATGATTGCTCAATATTGCGCACAATTTTTCTGTAACGGAGTAATTTTTCACTTCCATTTGTCCCCATGACTTTCAGATAGATGCAAGAAAAAAATACTAGGGTGAACAGGCGAATCGCTGGACGATTTAGGGAAATTCGAGTTTCGTGGGAGGATCTAAGATAAAATGCAACATCTAAAATTACCTAAATGGGGATGTGATGGCTTCCATACCTTCAAGAATGTGTTAATTAGCAGAAAAAAATTATTTCAAGTGAAAATAACAAAATAAAAGATAATTAAATTGATAAATAGTTGAATGCCGCCGAAACCCCTAATTTCTGGACGACGGGGCCTTGAGTGTATCATGAGAAACGATGACTCATGATACACTTTTATGGAACGGTAAGATGATTTTTATCGAAAATTTCTCCCCGTGCAGTAAAATTTGCCGCAATTTCCTAGATAATTTTAATTCAACTTTTCTCTCCGCGTGTAGAAAATCTTTAGTCCTGAATTTTCCCCGGTTTCTCCGCTGTATTTTTTAATTTCTCATTAGACATTCGAGCAAAAAAATTAACACGCGAGAATTCTCACAGAAAGAATCTAATCGAAATAAAATAAATAAGTAATAAAATTTTCTAGTGAATGCGCTGTGGTCTCCCATGGCATTTTCTATTCTTCATGATAAAAAAATTCCTTACCTTTGTATGCATCGTGAATCTTATCCAATCGATAATTTCCGAATAGAGAGAATATCCATCTTGTCCCGAGGACTGGTAATGCTAGGGGACCAGGTACATCTTGTACGCCTAGCACTTTGTTTTTCATTTTTTCATCTTTTTTCCCTGGAAAAAGAAACTTAATAGTATATTTCCATATTTTAGAAACTTTATAGTATCCTTCCGCCTCACGTGTAATCCACGCTCTCAAGATATTTTGCACCTATCATGATGCTCAGATAACAATCTCGCTGAATCTTCATCACTCCATCGTGTGAGTGAAGGAAGCAACTTACTCATGGAAAGATTCCCTTAATTAGACATTTTCAGTGACTCATTAGATTCAATATGCAACAAAGTTCATGAAATCGCGAGAAAATTTTTACCATTTCATCTGTACCACCGCTCTAGGGTAAGCTACCCAGTAGATGGACAATTTGTATATCCTCTCGGGTTTTTACATTTTGTGCCCTTTCCAGTTCCCCTTGAGATGTCAATCTACACTGCACATTGCATCAAGTTCAAAAAGTTCATAAACAAGTTCATAACAAAAACATGAACAACTAAAAAAATATGTCCGGGCTTTTGCGCTGGGGTTTTTTACTCTCGTGGAGTTGGCGTCCAAGCCTACGGCGAGGGGTGGCCAACCACACGAGTGAAAAACCCCATCGCAACAACCTGGGACAAATTTTTTTTCTAGTGATTTTTAAGTTTCCGAGTTTGGGAATTCTGTAATAGCAATTCCCAGACGAGGGATCGTGAGAAGCACCACGGGAAATTTAATTTTCCTTCATGTTTTTTTTCTCGTAAAAAAAGGTACCCGGATACTTGTTCCCCGAATAATTATTTGCGAAATGAAAGAAATTAATTTACTCGATTTTTTATGGAAAAAATAAAATGGTAATAATTTTGATAATGATATAAGCATTCAGGCACGAAAAAATTTAATAGAAAAATCCAACAAATTCGCAACAAATCCATTGGATTTCTATTGAACTTTGTATTAATTGTTGGCCTGTTCTATTGAAATATTCACAGGAAATATTCTATAGAAAAAGTCAATAGAATTAGATTTTTCTTTTCAACTTATTCTGTTGAGATATTTTCTACAGAATTTCCTCGGCTCAAATTTTCCAAGTTTTTAAATTTGATTTTCTTTATGAAAAGAAAGAAAATAGAATGAAAAAAAATTAGAAGATTTGAGCCGAGGAAATTCTGTAGAAAATATTTAAATAGAATAAGAATAAGTAGAATAATTTTCTACAGAATATTTTCTATTGGACATTTTAATAGACTCGACGAAAAACTAATAGAAAGTTCAATAGAAATCCAATAGAATTGTCCAGCGAATTCGCTAGGTTTTTCCATGAAATTTTTCCATACGTAGGGGAGGGTGGGGCAAAATGGAACGGTACAAAAAACGAATATAGAGCGAAATTCAGACAACTTTTCTTTTCACCTTATGTGAGCTCAAAAATGATGATTCGGGGTTAAGTCACTGACATCAGTTTACTCTGTAGTTATCGCTGTCTTGTAATCTAAGGGAGATAGGAGAATTTTGATAAGGACCTTTTTGTAGAGAATTTCAAGGGCTATAAAAAAGGTCATTGTAAAAATTTTGCTATCTTCATTGTAAAAAAAATTCAAGGTTAAAAAACTGAAGAAAAATCTGATATACTGTAAATTCAATTATAGAGTAATAGACGATTATAGATAAATAAATAAGACATTTGGAATATTACGATTGTTCTATGAATAAATTGAATATTAAAAAAAGGTCCTATAGTTTTTGAAAACCAAAATTTACTACCGTTCCATTTTGCCCCACCCTCCCCTATTTATTTAAAATAAACGAAGAAAACGGGCAATAATTAATTTTCGATGAAAAGGTGAATATTATCATTCAACGAATTACACCGATTTGCTAAACATTAGTGAATGGCGCAATGCATTCGCTGAAAGAATTTTAAATACCCCACCAAGGTTGCACACCCGAGATTTCTCCTAATGGCTGAGAAAAAAATTTAATCCTGCATAATTCTGACTATTCGGTGGCTCCCCAGGGCCAAAAAAAGCGGATGAAATTCTCTCTCGTAAAAACGAAATCAAGGATGTATGATCGTTAATACTCGGTGGGGTCATTATATCCCGAAAAGGCTCGGGATTTCATGAAATCCAATGCATGTTCCTAATTTTTGGCATTGAGTATAAAAAATGTGGGTGATAAAAAAAATCGTGTACCTGCGCAGCCCCTAAATTTTGATGCTAATTACCAGCCAGATTACGAGTGAATTTGGATTCTATTCAAATAAGAAGATAACAGGTGAGTATAACCGTTATGTCAAAACCGGATTGTGGGAATTTGTAATGTACAACTTGGGGATTTTTTTTCTGTTCTTTCTTTCTGTATTCACAGTGAAATGGAAAATTTGGTTTGATAACAGGGGATAATGTTTGTACAGTTCAAGCATTAAGTGTAGGATTCACTAGACCATAAAAATAATTGAGACCTTGAATACAAGAACTGAGTCGTGAAATGGGAAAAGAGTATGCGATAATTTCACGGATCAATTTTTTGACGATATCACGGAATTTGAGGGAGATAGGAGAATACAATTTTTTTGGAACTACTAAATCTATTTTTAGGACAACAATTTTCCATCTCGGTGGACTCTGCATGTTTCGCACAAATAAATCTTTTTTGGATGCACCTCGTGCCGAAAAGTGTTCTTTCTTTTACTCGTAAACGAAAATAGACATGGTTCGCCACTCGAACGTAACATCACTGACAAAAAATATAGTTCGACACATGTGAGACTGGAATTTTCAGTTCGTGTGATTGGCAGCCCGAGGCGTCGCCATATGCGGTAGAAAAGTTCCCACGGTCGTGCGTCAGACAATATTTTTTATCATTAGGCCCGAAATAGGATATTTCGATACGATTGCGGGAAAGTGTTTTTGGGCTCGTGGAAGGTTTATAGCACGAGCCTAAGGCGAGTGATATAATCCCACGAGTCTAAAAACACTTTTCCCGCGAAGCGTGCGTAAAATGTCACTTTACACACAGCGTGATGAAAAGAGACGTTTTAGGCACGCGAAATGTACCGAAAAAATTACTTTTTCGCACAGCGTGATAAAATAGTATATTTTGTCGCATTAGGCTGTAATAGTATATTTCGTAACGAGTGCAAAAAACATTTTTTCACGAGTTACGAACAATATTTTTCATCACAATGCGGCGGAAATTGGACTTTTAGGCACGCGGAGCGTGCCGAAAAGTTCACTTTTCGTCACAGCGTGATGAAATAGTATATTTCGTTACGAGTGCGGAAAAGTGTTTTTTGACTCGTGGGAGGTTTACAACACGAGCCGAAGGCTAGTGATATAATCCCACGAGCCAAAAAACACTTTTCCCACGAGTATCGAACAATATTTTTCATCACAATGTGGCGGAAATTGGACTTTTAGGCACGCGAACCGTGCCTAAAAAGTTACTTTTTCGCACAGCGTGATGAAAAAAACTTTTCTGGCGAATGTGACATTGCAACCATATAAACAATCATAAAACTTTAAACAATATTTTTTGTTCAAAGACGCGTAGCGTCTGTGAAGCACTGCCTTACGGCCAGAATGGCAAAAAATATAGTTCGACACATGTGCGTCAGGGATTTTTCAGCTCGTGTGATTGGCAGCCCTCGGCTTCGCCTCGAGCCTCCAACCTCACTCTCGTGAAAAACCCGTCGCACTCGTATCGAAATACCCTAGTTTCTCATTAGTTCGACTCGTTTGTGAACTCTATCGTTTTTCTCTCATTGCGCGCCTAATAAATTTTCAAATTGAATGCACTCACTATCAGACTGATGAGACGTCCCCGGCCAAAACCACCACGGGGGCCTGTAGCTCGTTGCCAAGGCGACAATTGCACAAATTGTCACGCATATCAATTCAAACCACGCTCCCGATAACAGCATAACGATCTCCTCTCTCCTGCAGTCTAAAACAAAAAAAAACAATAAATAAATCAAACCAATACCGAAATCAATTGTTCAGCAAAAAAATTGGGAGAGTACCCATCAAAATCCGCGTAAATATGAAAATTATCTTAAACTCATTTGTGTGAATTCCGTAATGAAAATACTACGCAAGCATTCATCAATTGAGGGATGGAGGTTACTCTGGCAATGAATTGTCAGTAGTAAAGTGCTGATTGACGTTGGCCAAGAGATACACTACAGGAAGGGGCAGACTTTCTTTTATTTCAATTATCTACTCATGATTAATTGCACAGACTAAAATAAACTCACTGAGTACTCGACAGAGCGTCCACTCGTGTTGCTTGCTACTTAGCTGGATAGAATTGCCAGTTGAAACTGCTCGATAAATTAAATCGATTCGCTTTTAATCCTCGTCAAATGGCCTCTTAATTACACATTACTGTGTCAATATCATATATCATTTATCTATCATTTACATGTTCGTCGTGAGCGATTGAGATACTTGACATGTGAGAGGGGCTTTCTTTTCAGCCATTCGGTAATACAATACGAGAATATTATGATTAGGAATGCAAAATGACGGGAATCACGCACGAAAAAATTTAATAGAAAAACCTACCGAATTCGTTGGAAAATTCGATTGAATTTCTATTAAACTTTCTATTAATTTTTGGCTGATTCTATTGACACGTTCAACAGAAAACATTCCATAGAAAAAGTCAACAGAATTCGATTTTTCTATATAACTTATTCTTTTCATATGTTTTCTATAGAATTTACTCGACTCAAATTTTCTAAGATTTTTTCATTCTATTTTTCTTTTCTTCTCATCAAGAAAATCAAACGAAAAAACTTGGAAAAATTGAGCCGAGAAAATTCTGTAGAAAATATCTCAATAGAATAAGTTATATAGAAAAATTGAATTCTATTGACTTTTTCTACTGAATATTTTTTATTGAACATTTCAATAGAATCGGCCAAAAACTAATAGAACAGCGCTCTATCAAGATTTTTCATTTATGTGACGCGAAATTCCGTCACTTTTTTTTTTACCAAAAATCGTCGGTAATTGGCCTTCGGTCAGTGACGAGTAATTTAGTGTAAAATGACGGTAAATTGACCGGTAAGCTTTGTTCGTTACATGAAATAAAATTGGGATTGGAATTGAAACAAAAAGATGAATAAATAAACAGAGCAAATTTGCTCTGTTGTAGGGAAGGGTAGGGTAAAATGGACACTGTAGACTTTTTTAAAATTATTCATAACTCAGAAACAAATCTATCAATAGAGTTCAGTTTAGGCTCATCACAAAGGGAAAGAATTGTTCTTTGTATTGAAAAAAAAAATGATTAAATTTCATCAACATTTCAAATCGTCACTAATATTTGAAAAAAAGTAAAACTCTCCGTTTTAGCCCAAACTCCCCTATAGTTTGTCTTAAGACAAACTTTATAAAAAAAAAATATTGAATTCACAATGAATTTTAAAAACAGAAATAAAAATGTTGAATATTAAAAAAAGAAATAAAAATATGTATTCATCCGGCAATCTATTCTGCCCCGTTCTCCCCTACAAGATAATCGATCAGCAAAAATTGGAGAAAATCCATTTGTTATGAATCCAATAAGAGACGAATTATTTAGTTGCGAAAAAAATAGACTTCATTATGATTCCCCAGAAACGAGATAATGAGAAATAAATTTTGCTCCGTTAATGATAAGAAAACTAATCAGGATTTGATTCTGCTTATCAAATATTAGCATGGTAATGAATAATAGATTCAACTTCATCATTGATTACAAAGGTGATTAAAATTCGCTCTTTTTTATCGGGCATTCACAGGACAATGACCTGTTAGTGACGGAATATTTACATGAAAAAATTGTAGAGATTATTATTTTTCCCCATCCAAATTTCAGAGAATAGAATTCCACTAGTCGACTGTTATTTTATGTAATCAACACGGTATTCAACTGATAATTTTTTATAATTCCGCGGGTAATTTTTCATGTTAACAAACGAAACAACCGATTGTCTGGTTGAGTCAAACCCTCGTTGGAACTGACCGATGAATTGTGCAATCTCATAGTGCAATTCCCTTGGCCGAAATTTGGATGAAAAAATTTTCTTCTGAACACCACTGGAGCTCCAAAATTAATTACGTATTTTCCTCAAGGTTTCATGCATCCAAACGAACTTGTCAAGTTTTTCAGGGAAAACTTGACTCTTTCGCTTGTTTGCAACGAATCTATCCGGGAATACCTGATAATTTTGAAGCCCTTGTGATAGGGTAAACTGCCCAGTAGATGGACGCCTAAGAAAATCGCCCAGTAGATGGACGTTTGTTTTTTAGCAATTAAAAAAAAATTGATCGAAAAAAAATCGTCACTCAGGGGTCAAGAATCACAACAGTTAGCGAAAATTCAAAGCAACAATTTACATTTCAGTATTTTTTTGCGTAATTTCCTATCCAAAAGTAGCTCGTCCATCTATAGTGCATCTACTGGGTAGCTTACCCTATTACATACGAAAATTTGATAGAAAAACCTAACGTTTTCTCTGAGAATTTCTGGTGAAAATTATGCAACATTGCGATGTATTTTTCAATCGATATGATTTGTATTGACTCAGGGTCGATATACTCAACCTAGCAATTTAATATCAGCAGAGGTGTTATATTCAATGAGCATTTGATTGTTTTCAATGAATCAACAAGAAAAAACTGAACAAATTGCACTATATTATTATTTAAATTGTCTCTCAAAAATTCACTAACATGTAAATAAGATGGAATTGAATCTCTCTTTTTTCAGGCTTAAAGAATTTGTTTGGATGTCCTTTTGACCAAGTTCGAAGATGAAGGCGATAGCAATAATCTTTATTTTAACTTATTTGAAAATGTGGAAAAATTTTGTATTTTTTGAAAATCTGAATTCTGCGGATATCTTTGAATATCCTCCTTCAAATTAATTTAACCAGAGCGTAAAATGTTTGTTTTCATGCCATTAAGGCGAAGTTGAACGAAAAGTTGAAAAGAAATCTTATCCAATTTAATAACATGAAATAAACAATGAATTCAGTAGCGAAGTGGTAAACCGGTTTAAGTCGACTTATCTCCCAGTTGAGTTTTTGAGGAATATTTCCGAATCTAAGGGAGATAGCGAAATTTTCATCATTGCATTTGTTGTAGCTCTCAATCGGGTCTACAAAAAAGGTTGTAACAAAAATTTCGCCATCTCCCTTAGATTCCGAGATATTTATTGAAAACTGGTCAATAGTCAAAATTGGCTTATACCGTTTTACGACTTGGCTACTGAATTATACATAATAAAAGGAAATGATGAGCAAAATAACCATTCGGAAGCATATTGCTAATTTATCAGCAAAAATAACTTTACTATACTAAAAACAAGAGCAATTTCCTACTTGTTGTTATTTGGTGGAGGATGAATTCAACTTGGACACTAACACACTGCACTTTGGATACTGCTGTTGGTTTATTGTGTACATGAGTTTGTGAACTCAAGCGAGAGATAGGATACTAGTTGGAGTGTTCAAGACTGATTTGCACTTCATCACCGTTCGTCTAATACTGAATGTATTTTTCCTTCCCTTTGGCATGCAGGGTTGGAAGATGGAGGATTGGCCTTTTAAAAATGTGAAAATCTAATTTGTCGTGTTGATTGGTTGAGAGAGGCCCAACCCTCTAGCGTGGCAAGCTCCAGTGGTGGGAGAAACTTTTTCTATTCTCTGCCGGAGGGAAATTTCGAGACTCCACCGGTTGTAAAGTTTACGGCGCGGGGACAAACCTCTCACCCGGCTCGACGGCTTGCGAATGATTGAGTTGTAAATATTCAAATTTGAGACCAAAGGACTAAATAGTGAGACAATATTTCAAATTGAGGACTGCAATTTATCCTGACGCTTCCTCGGGCCTCAAAGTAGTATATCAAAAATTAATTGCGAGTGGAACAATGACGTTTATAAATCTTCTATGTTCTTCTGTTGGAAAATTATTTTAATAATAAAATAACCTATCCTCCAGTTTTCATCTTTAACTTGTTTCCATTTTCGTTATACCTAACAGAAATTATATTCGTGTCAGATTATGTAAATATTCCCTTCTATTATTCTTTTCTTATATTTTCTATAGAATTTGCTCGACTCAAATTTTCTAAGATTTTTTTATTCTATTTTTCTTTTCTTCTCATCAAGAAAATCAAACGAAAAAACTTGGAAAAATTGAGCCGAGAAAATTCTATAAAAAATATCTCAATAGAATAAATTATATAGAATATAACATATGTATCATATTATATATATCATATATCGTATTATATTATATATTATATTTTCTATTGAACAGTTCAATAGAAATTCAATAGAATTTTCTAACGAATTCGATAGGTTTTTCTATTAAATTTTTTCGTCCGAGATTTTTTGCATGCCTCAGGCCAGCCGGAAATTTACCGTTTTCTGATCAATAATATCAGATTTTGACAATATTGAAAAGGATATTATCTCATAATATTTTTCAAAGTTTAACTATATTTAACAAATTTAATATATTATAGAATTTATTAGCTAAATGTTTTGATTGTTTATTCGATTATTTTAAATTGAAAGTAGAAAATTAAATGAGTGTTTACTTTTTTGTCAACCTTATGAAAATGAGATGAAAATTATTGGACATGAATTTTCTAACTTTTTTATTCTTGAATTTCGCATTGAGAAAGAAGCACATCGAAAAAACTTAGAAAGTGTTCAACAATTTTCTATAGACTAGGGTATTCTGCGCGCTTCACGCGCTATAGATATACCTATTGGGCCTTAAAGTTTTTTTTTCTATAAAAAATACATTCATTCCTCATGAAACGTATTGTATATTCCTGTTGTTGTAATGGGTAAATTACCGAAATTATCAAAATTCATCGGCTAATTTTAAATTGTTGAAATTGTTGTAATTGTATTGTAAAAAAACGCACAATGACTTCTAAAT